GTTTCTCCGATCTTAGTGCTCTGATGTCTGGGTGCTCCATTGTCTGGGTGCTCCGATGTCTGGGTGCTCCGATGTCTGGGTGCTCCGTTGTCTGGGTGCTCCGATGTCTGGGTGCTCTGTTGTCTGTGTGCTCCGATGTCTGGGTGCTCTGATGTCTGGGTGCTCCGTTGTCTGGGTGGTCCAATGTCTGAGTGCTCCGTTGTCTGGGTGCTCCGATGTCTGGGTGCTCTGTTGTCTGTTGTCTGGGTGCTTCGATGTCTGGGTGCTCCGTTTTCTGGGTGCTCCATTGTCTGGGTGCACTGGAGTGTCTTAGTCTGCTCACTGAAGCCCATTTTGATTAACTGCAACCAAGTTTGGGCAGTTCTGGATAAGAATGCTGTGAGCATCCTTGTGTAGGATTTTGTGGCTGTACTGCTGTGCACCATCCCCCTCCCTAGCAGTAATGACCATCCTTCCTGTTCCACATCCTCACAGCAGTACTTTTGGAAATTACTGCTTTCTTATTCAAAAGCAGCTCGTGGTATGAAATAGGGAATAACATTATGCTGAGCAAAGACACTAAGCCCTCTCTCTGATTCCTATGCACAGTGACAAGGCTTCAATGCCTCAGCATGTGTTGTTTCAGAGGCAACGTTTTTTTTGCAAAATGACTTCTGCTAGGTGAAGGCCCTGTGGCCGTCCTTGTGAAGGGAGGCAGCTGTGACACTAGGCTGTTTGTATCTGGGACCTGGCCAGCTCCTGGTCCCTGCTCCATATGACAGTGCTTGCCTCCTCTCCTCACCTTCTAAGTGGCGACATGACCCACACTGGGATCCCTGACACCATAGTTATCCCTGACTGCTTTGTATTCTCAAGTCTTGTAGAACATTCTTCCCCCATACCTTCCCCTGCCATGGTTCAGAAGAACATTCCATTTGCTCAATGGGCTTTGGTGTCTGTGTCCTTGTGCTGTATAACGTTTCCCTCTGTCCTTACAGAGTGGTAATTTTTGTTTTTTGGTCTTTGAGACAGGGTCTCCCTGTAGCCCTAGCAGGCCTAGAACTCACTATGTAGACCAGGCTGCCCTTGAACTCACAGAGATTATTATTTTATTTATTTATTTATTTATTTATTTATTTATTTATTTATTTATTTATTTATTTGGTTTTTTGAGATAGGGTCTCTCAGATTGATAATTTAATTTACAGGCTTAGTAAAATTCTGAGAGTGCGATGGAGACTTGTGGATGGTGCATTTGTCACTAAGACACAGAAGGTCTCTTGCCTGTTTTTGTGCTGGCTTTGCCATCCTAGCATAGATCCTGGACTGCACAAAGAGGTTCTGTGATGATGATATCCCTGCTCTGTTCTTTCTTATTTGTTTGCTGGAACACTTTACATAACAGGCTGTTACTTGCAGTTCCAATGGGAAAGACAGGATTTATAGGCAATTCTTTTTCTTTATTTCAGAATAAAGAGTTGGCCAGGCATGGTGGTGCACACCTTTAATCTCAGCACTTGGGAAGCAGAGGCAGGTGGATCTCTGAGTTTCAGGCCAGCCTGGTCTACCTATATAGCAAGTTCCAGGCCAGCCAGAGCTATGTAATGAGATCCTGTTCTAGTTTGCTTTCTGTTGCTGTGATAAACACCATGACCAAAAGCAACTTGGGGAGAAAAGGATTTATCTCAATTTACACTTTATAGTCCCAGAGGGAAGCCAAGGCAGGAGGTCAAGGCGGGATCTAAAGCCTAGACCGTGGAGGAATGGTGCTTGCTGCTTGCTCAGCTACCTTTTTTCCTTTTTAAAAAAAATTATTTATTTAATAACTACATGATTACAAGAAGCTTTCATTACAGCATTAACATATCCAATAACAATTTCTAGAGCAAAGATGCATCTCTTTCAAAAGTGGCTGTAAATTTTTAGGTTCACAGTTGAATTAATATAGATATACAATATTTAACTCAGTATAAACCCTGTAAGACATAAAATTGAATGAGGTTTTAACGTTTAAAAATAACTCCATTTCATTTTAAAATACTCTTTTCATACAGAAACTCATTTTTAATGCTACTAACACAGATGTTTGTATATGCGTCTCTAATCTCTATGTATCTCAGTATTACTAGTCAGAGTTGGTTACACTCTGATCTTTGGCACCTGACTGTGGATATAAAGTCATCAGGTAGATTTCAATAGTAATGTTTTGCACCTCTACTAATTAACATGAAGTAAATTTTTATGCTTCTTCTTCAAATATAACTCATTTTTTAAAAATTGTTGATTTTTTTTGGTGTGTATTTCATATAGAACATCCCAAACAATCGTATTCATCTATATACCCACATCCCAAATGACACTCTCCCGTAGCCTGCTGCCCACTACTGGAGCCCATGTACTCTGTCATCCCTGTTATTGTCCACTGTGTTGTCAGTGCCCCTAAACGTTCCCCAGTGCTTGTCCATCTACTGAATCTAGTCAGCCTATCTAGAGTTCCTTGTTTTAGGAAGATCAGCTCTTCCTCATCTAGCCGGAATCAGTTGTCAATATTCCTTTAGATAAGATTGGGGTCTACTGTTCATTTTCCCAGTTCTATGCTGGTTACTGTCTGGGAGTCTTTTGGGCCACCCTGGCCAACAACTCAAAGGATTTAAAATTTTCATTGTAAAGGTCTTTAATGCCTTTGGTCAGGTTTATTCTTAGGTTTTTTGTTTTGTTTTGTTTTGTTTTTTGTTTTTTTGCAGCTATTGTGAAGGGGAGTGTTTCCATGTGTACTGTTCATTTTCCCAGTTCTATGCTGGTTACTGTCTGGGAGTCTTTTGGGCCACCCTGGCCAACAACTCAAAGGATTTAAAATTTTCATTGTAAAGGTCTTTAATGCCTTTGGTCAGGTTTATTCTTAGGTTTTTTGTTTTGTTTTGTTTTGTTTTTTGTTTTTTTGCAGCTATTGTGAAGGGGAGTGTTTCCATGTGCTCTTTGCTTGATTGCTTGTTATTGGTATATAGAAAGGCTACAGACTTTTGAGGGTTAATTTTGTAACCTGCCACTTTACTGAATGTGTTAATTTCTGAGCTTTCTGGTGGAATTTTTGGCATCTCTTGGATATATTATCTGCAAAAAGGGATAATTTGATGTCTTCTTTTCCAATTATTCTTTTAATTTCCTTC